GCTCCAGATTATCACGCGTAGTATTACTATATATACACGACCAATCAAAAACGTGGAACTGCTTCGTGGGCCCTCCGCTAAGGTGGCGCGCCGAAACAAAAGAAAAATTGCCTTCAACAAAAACAGGCTCATTGGCAATATCCCTACTCATCTCTGGTCGGGGAATGTACTTTGCGTTTAAACCACGATCAAATTTGATCGTCGGTCAGCTAAACTGTCACTTGAACCGTGTCGGTGGGAACGGGCGTTAGTTTCCACCGTGCAGAGTTTAAACAGAGGGAAGCAGCTTCATTGGTCAATTCCATTCAACCCCTACACGTGATTGGTTGACTCTGTTTAAACTTTGCACAGTGGAAACTAAGCCTATACCTATCTACACTTAACAGTTTTACGTCCACGTCAGTAGAATAGTGCTGTTTAAACATATAGGTTGCAGTTAGTTTCTCGACGTGTATTACGGTGGCTATAGTGTCTGTTGTGGATCAAATCAGAGGAACGTTATTCTGTGATTTGTAACATAAAGAAGATAATTGTGTAAAATACTTTGGCTGAAACGACCTTAGCTGCAAATATAGTGTGCACTTTATGAGGTTTTAATCATATTTATTACTATAAATATACTTTGTTATTGTGAACATTTCAGACTGGGCAAGGCAAAATGTATTGGATATTGTGGATTTTTATTATTGGTGCAAGTAGTTGTCAATTTGTTGATGCTCAAGGTCATAGAGTTGCTCCTGGTGTACATCCACAACATTACCAACAGGTTTGTTTTGTGGAAATTGTATGGTGATATGGTAACATATGGTCAATCAGCTAATATGTATGTTTAACATAGTATTCTACACAAGAGATATTTTGTTTTTGTTATTTTCAATTAAATACATAGGAAGATTATTAAGTGATGACATGAAGTATGTAAGATTCATAATTACAATTGTTTTTTCTATGCTGTAGCAATTCCCTTCTCAACAAATGCATCATGTTCCGCAACATCAAGTTCCCCAGCAGCAATATCAACAGGTGCAGCAACAGCAAGTTCCTGTACAACAACAAGGACATGACCATGTACATCCCCAACAGTTGCTAAGTGCTGCAAATATTGCTCAGGAGAAAGCGTGCGTTATGAAATTCAAATTACTCTTTTAGGATCAGTGCAGTTAATATTTTGTTAATTTATAGGCACATAGCTGAACACTTGGACGTGCCAATGGATACAAGTAAAATGTCAGAGCAGGAATTACAGTTCCATTACTTTAAGATGCATGATGCAGATAACAACAACAAATTAGATGGTTGTGAACTCATTAAATCCCTTATTCATTGGCATGGTTAGTAACTTATTGATTTTCTCATAATTTTTAAAGTATCTTACATAAGCATTACGTGCAGAATTTTGTATATGCCTATTGTTATATTAAGACAATTTCTTTTTTATTAATTCTGTCAAAATCGCTATCAATAGAAATCGCTATTATCTATTTATTATGTGAGGCTACAAGCGTAAGATTGGTTAGATTTTGTTCTTAGAGGGACTGGAAAATATTTTCCTTTCTGTGCATTTGAATTTAATGTAAGAAAACAACATGACTTTCCAGTCCACCTAATATTTTGTATGATAATCAATGGTGATGGGTGGTTTTCTTTTTTGTTACGTCTCGCTTTGCGTCATATGATTATGTGAAACGTAGAACAAGGAAACAGAGAGAATGGTGCACCAAATGCGGGCGATAAATTATTCAAGGATGATGAGCTTGTAGCTTTGATCGACCCAATTCTTGGAATGGACGATACAAATAAGGATGGATTTATCGACTATCCTGAATTCATTCGGGCCCAACAGAAGGCTGCAGCAACAGGACGCCAATGATTTATCACTGGTAACAAAAGGATATTATGACTTAATGATCTTCATTAATACTGGCATCTACTAACTATTATTGTGTCCCTGTAAAAGTATTCTTCTTATGCTATTGTAATATTAGCTTGCATTAAGCTTAGTCTTCTTAAATCCCTAAAAAGATGATTGAAATTACCATACATTATTTAATCTTTGTTTAGGAACTAGTGTTGTCGCTGGTGTGGACGGTTATGAAGATCACGAATTGGAATTCTTGGTGGATAAGATTTTGAAAGAAGTGGATACTGATTTTGATGGGCAGATCAACTGGACCGAATATTCCTTTAACCTATGCTAAGTTAAATGACCAAATTCTTCATCAGTTTGAGGGATGAATATTAGAATGAATGCAATACGAAGAGATTTTTATTATCGAATTTTATTATCGAATACTGTGTCGTGTTCGATATCCTCTATTTCTTTTGCTTTATTAAGCGGGAGATATGTCTTACAACCAATGGGGCAATGCTATATATTTTAAAAATACTACAATATATGCAACGTTCATTATTTTTAATCGATCAAGTACTTTTTTCTCTTTACATGACTACTACATATAGCTTCTCATTCTGTACATGAATTATTCTCTAACACTCTACTTTTTAAAAGTGTTGTCTTATTTAAGCTAGACATATTCATTTGTGACTAACCTCTATTGATTCACTTTTAAAAACTTTTTTAATACATATGTTAATCGAGATTTGTAATACCGTGCATATCACGCATTTTATATAAAACACACAAAACTAAGTCAGTGGGAATTAATATTTTTTAAAAGAGAAACAAATTCTTGTATCTTAATATCAATATCTAATTGAAGTGTTAAGATAATTACTGGGCTGCACACTAGTCAAATTAGGACTAAATTTATATAATGAATTTTACAAAGTTAAATGTATTAATTAACAGTAGGGAAAAGCGATTTGTATTACAGCACGTATGCTTCATCTAAAGAAATATTAATAGCAATGTATTTGCTAGAGCATTAAGTGATCAATGCTAGTTTCCATAAAGGTACATTTTTGTCAAGTTTTTTCAAAGAATAAATCATAATTTTTTACCGATTTTAATGCGCTTTAACTCATTCTGTTTCTCGAAATTTACTATACGAATTCACCGTCTTAAATGTTTGTAGTATTGACTGTTTGAAAATTATATCAGGTTATTTATAAACAATTTTATTCGACGGTTAAACAATAGGTTGAAAATTTTAAACGGTCAGCACTACAAAAAATGAATTTGGTGAATTCGTAGAGCAACTTTTAGAAAATAAAATGAGCTGTAGCATATTAAAATCGGTACAAAATTAACATTTTTTCTTTGAAAAAACTCGGCGAAAATGTATTTCTATGAAAATTAGCATTGATCACTTAATGCTTTAGCAAATACATTGGTAATAATGTTTTTCTAGGTTAAGAACATATGCTGTAATACAAATCACCCTCAACTACTATCAATTAATACATTTAACTTTGTAAAATTTATTGTAAAAACGTAGTCCTCATTTGAATAGTGTGCAGCGCAGCAGCTCCTTTAAAGCTCCTTTATCATAAACGAGATAAAAGTGTTGTTGCATGTTAATATGCATTTAAAAAATAAGTAATGAAAGTATAACATCAGAGGACAAGAGAAATTCTTTAAAAAACTGCAGTTGTATACTTTGTGACGTGATTTTTCGAATCACGGTCCCAAGGCGGCTCCGGTTACCGATATAGATAACGTTCTCGATTTCTGGTTCTCTTCGGGTCGCCACCCCGCTCAGAAGTTACGCTCTCGGATTGATTCGTACAGTTACGTCAAGGCTCTCGTAAGATTGTTATAATTAAAAATTCATTCTAACATAAGATATAATATGTATATAAGACAATGCTGACATCACGAAATTTATATCTAAGTACTTTTGGGTTATACAAAATGTGTCGTACAAAATCATTAGAATTCATCCACGAGTAAAATGCATTTTTGGACTGATCTCAAACAATCTAATCCTTAGCAAATTCTATGTGGCTTTCCATAAGATCACTGAAATATATGCTCAACTAGAAAAATATAATATATTTCGATGCAAAAACCTGTACATGCACTTTCTAACAAAAATGTTACGTAAAGCCACATCAACAGACTCGGTCGAGTCTCGCGCCAAATACAGACAACCCGCCGTACAGGGCTTAACGCTACCCAGACCGTTGAATGTAGATAGGTTAGAGGTGCGGAGGACGTGGTGGGGGTATATCAAGCATATACTATAGTAAAATTTTAGTTCCAATCCCGGCGGGTAGATGGCGCCCCGAAAATCCCAAGTGTAGAGAGCGAACAGCAGACGGTACTTACCGACCGAACTAGGGCAAGCACTGCCATACTTACCGGCCGTCGCTGGCAGGAAGCCGACGGCAGCGCTACGGCTAGCGTAGAGAGTAGTCTTCCAGAGCGTTCCATGGCGTCTACAGCAATTAGTATACTCTGTACCTGAAACAAAGAAAATAAAAGCTTACGTGTGTGAAACTTACCTGAGTGCAATATATTCCTCGTGAGTAGATAAAAATATAAACGACCTGTGTACGCGTCCGCTACACAAGCTATCTTGTGGCGCTGCCTATGAGTGGGGATTTGTACTAAAAGAGACTGTAGCGCGCACGCGCAAATTGTTTGCAAGAAACAAGCACCATTTGTTCCGAGTGACATTAATAACACAAAAAACATTCTAAATAGAATTAATGATTGAGAAATTGTAGGATTTATCACGTGTATCAAAGATCATATAATAGAAACGAATTTCAGTGTTATAACTCTTATTGCTTTCTATTGGGAATGTATGTTTTCGGATTGTAGATCACATATGCAAGTGCACATAAATAAATATAAAATCATTTTCTTAAATAACTATGTGTTATTTGTTGTAGACCTTACCTCAATTTTTTAGGTAGCTTCCCATTTGTTTTTATTAATAATTTAGATATGAAGAACATACGAATGTATTTAAAGGAAAATCGTGCATATGGTTTATCTGTCAATTATGCGATAGAGCAAATGACTTAAGTACTGAAATACAAGTTCCGAAGAAAGTATAAAAAGTACATGATGCTGGTCGATAGGCAAGGCATTGGGTTAGGAGGCTAGAGATCTGTGGTTCGAGACTCTTCGTCGGAAGTTTTTTTTTTCTTCTTCTGGACGTTATGATTTTTTTTTCAAATACAAGGTATTAAAGAGGTTGAAGCGCTTCACGCCGGTCAAATCAGTGCTCAATATTTTTCATCGTTTTTACATAGTTTTATGAATTAATTGATTGCAGTGAAGGGTGATTTGTATTATAACATGTGCCCATAACCCATAAAAACATTCAGAGCGATGAATTTACAATAATATTACCTGACCAATATTACATAATGCATTAAATTTACAAAA